CTGTAATAATTTTTTTAAAAGTATAAACATTCACTGCATTTTTTGATCACACTGTTGTCTCGCTGTTCATCTGTTTACCTATCCATCCATCTATCCATCCATCCATCCATCCTTCCATTCATCTGTCTGTCCATCCATCCATATGGATATGTATCATCTTATTCCCTTTGAGGCTGCAGTAACACCACACCATAAATGGCATAGCTTATAAGCAGCAGCAGTTTATTTCTCACTGGTCTTCTGTTCATTTGTCTCCAAGGTCAAGGTGCTGGCTGGTTCACAAATGGTGTCTTCTTTCTGTGCCTGAATCTGGTGGAATACCAGGCAACTCTCTGCAGTCTCTTTTATAAAGGCCCTCTTGACCAAATCCCCTCCCCAAACTTCTACCTCTCCAGTCCTCCACCTTGGATGTTAAGCTTTTAGGATTCAAACTGGGAGGAAACCAGCTTCCTTCCAGTCTACACTCTGTATGGATGTGCCATATGCACATATACCAAAATAGGATCATGCTGACTTCCTGTTTCTTAACCTGCTTTTTAAACCTGGTATTTTACAGTATCTTTGTTGTGGTACTATCTCCTCCTATGATTTAAGTTTGGCATAGTGCTCTATTTAGGTGACTGCAGCATATCCAGCAGTGTCCTATTATTGTCCTATGGGAGGGGGGGTAACTTCCTTCGTAACTATTTTAATGTGTACCATTCATGATTATAGATTTTTGACAGGTTAAAAACATAAACAAAACACCCTCCTACTCCCTGCCAGAGCCCCAAGTTTGGGAACCCAATAATTACAAAATGGGACTTGGAACATTTATCTGGCTTCCTCCTCAAAATTCTCTCGGTACAAGAAATTATCTTGCCTTTTTGGTCAGATGGAGGACCTCACTGAGGAACAGATCCAGCTGTGAAAAGGCGCAGGAAGTGTCCCTGAAGCAGGAGGGCATGGCACTAACGAGAGGGTTCAGTGCACGAATAGCACCTTGTTGCTGGTCTTGTCCATCTGGGTGCCCTTAAGAAGTGCAGAACAAGTTGGGGTTGCCAGGGGTTGGTGACTCAAGCTGAATTTTGGAGTAAGCTGTGAGTTGTGACTTTGATTTGTCCTTTAATTTGCATGGCTTCTGGAAGAAACAGTAGCTTGAGGGTTGGGGTCCAGGTGCTCTGTGGAATTTGTTCCAAAGATAAATGAATGAGGTTGAAGAACGCAAATGTTTTCTGCATTTTCAACTGACATTTTGGGCTTACTGGGTTGCAACATTGTCATAAGTCACTGAGAACTCCTCGTTTCCTCAAGTGCTCACAGAGGTGCTGGGTGCACGTTGCTGTGGGCAGGTGGCGGGTGGAGATGACTGGTTACTTGCTGGGGCTGTGCGATGACAGAGAAGTCAGGAGGTAGCTTTGTGAGGATCCTGTTGTGGAAGTCTTTTTTTCCTTAGCTAAAAATGTTGTAAGATTTAAGAGTACACTGGTGGTTGGGTCAGTTAAGATGTGTATGTGCCCAGCTCACTGGTGTCTCCTCCCTGACGCTGTGCCTTTTCCTTAGGATGGTAACAGAGGTATCTCTTGAAGGCCTGTCCTTCATAGAGAGGAGAAAGACTTCTCTTGCTTTCCCTGCAGGTTCTGCCTCTATGCAGGCCAGCCTTGTCCGTGTGGTCTCTGTTAGCCTCCTGCAAGGTTCTATTGACAGCACACTCACTGCAGAGTCACGTCTGCAAAGAAGAGTTGGATAATTGGGTGCAGATTGCTGTAGACTGTGCCCTTCTCCCTGGTAAATATCGGCTTGTTGGAATCGATCTTGTCTGTTACCAGACCCAAGCCTTCATCCTTGCCCTCGCCCAGGCAGAGAGATGGCCCTTTAGCAGCCTCTGGGACCCTCCCCACAACAGCCAGTGGCTTCTGGCTGAAGCTTTGACACCGGCGTCCCTGGCAAGCCATGGACTCTTCGATTGCGGTCTGGATGTGGGTGCAGAGGAGTGGGGAGGCCACGAGCGCTGTAATCTTGGTGGTCAAACCCGTGGGGTGGGCCTGAGGGACTCCTGGGGACTTTGGAGGCTGTAGGAGACAGACAGGAGACTCAGTGGCTTCATGCGGTACTTACTTCCTGGGCCACTTTGGCCAGAACTCCCTTTGACTCTGATAGGTTTTTTTTAAAAAAACATTATTATTATTTTCTAACGTACGCTTAACGTAAACTTTACCATCTTAACCATTTTAAGTGTACATTTCACTATGAAGTATAAAGCCGGCCCTTCAGGCCTGGGGTTCTGTATCTCTGGATCCAAAAAGCAGCAGACAGAAATATTTGGAAAAAATGCATCTGCATGGAACCTGCGCGCACTCCCCCGTGAGTGTTCCCTAAGCCGCGCAGTGTGACAGCTATGGATAGCACTGCAGCGGGTATGACAAGCCATGTGGAGATGAGGTCCATGCCAAGGCTGTGCCACTGTAACCTGAGGGACTTGTGAATCCTTGGATTTAGGGTCCAAGGAGTTCCCAGAGCCCCTCCCCTGTGGCTACCAAAGGGCGACTTAGTCAACTGTGACTGATCCTCAGAACAGCTCTATCTTGGGAAACTGAAACTCCATACCCATTGAATACCAGCTCTCCACTCCCCTGCCCTGGTGGTCACCCTGTGTCTTCATTTTCTCTGAGTCAGTCTCAGCCCCTGTATGGCAGTGGGATCACAGAGTATCTGCTCCTTTGCGACAGCCTCATTCCATTTCACCTACGTCCACCAGGCTCATCCATGTTGCGGCCTGCACCAGGGTCCTTGCTCTTTAAAGCAGTGTCACTCCACTGTGCGTGGAATATTCACAGTTTCTAACTGCAGGGCCCTCCAGAGTCCTCGGTGTCCTTTGGTCCTCAGATTTCCCATATGGAGGCTGTGGGTACAGGTTCTCCAGCCAGTGCCTCTGTTCTGAACACGCATGAATTTCTCTTAACCTCCAAGTCTGGGTGCAAGGCCAAGAGTGTCGCTGCTGGTGGCTTTCCTAGAGGCTGTTGCAGGTGACCTCACAGCTATATATGGTGGCTCAGGGGAAGGTGTTTTGTCACTTCTATGGCCTACAGGCAGTCATTGTCACTCTGAATGTCACACTGGAGCAAGGCTAGGCTGGGGCAGGAGCCAGCCTTTCTCAGGCTGCTGACACCAAGCCTCCTGCCCAAGGCTCAGCCTGAGCCATGGCCCCGCCCAGGACCTAACAGGATAGCCTAGGTCCCTGGCCACACTCTTCTGGGACCTTCAGCATGTGGTGGCCCGTGGCTGCCTGGATTCTTGCTGTCCTCGCAGCTATGCTTGGTCATCTCCATTCTTCTCTTCCTAATACTTGTTTATGATTAGAGTTCTATCTCTGAGTTTAGAAGAAATTCATGTTGATTGTAGAAACATGAAAAAAGTTCCAAACAGATACAGAGAGGAAAATACAAATCTTTGGTGGCCTGCACCCGAGAGGGACTCATCCTTAATACTCCAGTCTCTTTCCCTCCTGCGGTCTCCATGCTAGTACCCTTTGGAAGGGCAGGGAGGGGACAGAAGTCTGGGGATCCATCAGGAAGGCTTCTGTCTCCAGGGTCTGGTGCCAGGGAGAGCAGTGGCACAATCAGGACCCAGGGTGGGACCACCCGTGCCCAGGCTGGCGGTCAGCCCAGTTCATGGCAGGGGAGTAGATCAGCATCCTGTGCGCTTGGCCTCGGCCACGTGTCTCATGCTTCTCTTGATATCTGCTCCCTGCTGTGTAGCCATTCTACCAAACTGAGGCACTTAACCCTCCCATGGTACCAAGGCCACCCAAGGGTTGGTCCTACCTCAACTGGCTGTCATGGTGATGAGAAGTGATGGTGGGTGGTGGCTTCCTTTCACTCCAGAGCGGAAGCAGAATGGTGGAAGAAGGGAAAGATCCTCAAACGGGCTTGAAAGGTGAGGATGGTGCCCAGGCCTGTCTCCTGGGAAGGAGGGTAGGGATGTTCTGCTGCCCCTAAAAGCTGAGCTCTGGAGGTGGCCCTGACTTGAGTGGCTTTGCAGGCCCCAGGGACCTAGGCCTGTTTCTCCTGGCTATGCCCCAAACTGGCTGCAAAGTGGATTCCATATCATGGCAGGCAGAGTGGTACAGGGAGTTAGGAACCTCGGACCCTGTTCTTGGTGCAGACCTGGACCCTGGATCACAGCTACCAAAGAAGCTGTGGGTGTGTGGGGGTTGAGCAAGGGGCTGGACCCAAGCTATCGCCTCACTCTCAGAGCTTGCTCCTCAAAATCTAAAGCCACATCTAGCAGATCTGAGCAGGAGATGCTTATACCCAAATGGGTCAGTACTATGTCCTGGCAGCTTCACAGATATTTAAAAAAAAAAAAAAAAAAAAAACCTCACAAATTGAAAGAAAATCGCATGTTTTGTTTATTATAAAGGACCTACATCCTTTCTTGTGGGCTTTGCTTGACTTCTTTAATCCCAGACCACTCAGTCTCATTTTATGTTCCACGTGGAATTTGGTGTGGTGGTTGCAAAATCCAGCTCCATAAAGGTATGACACTCTTGGGAGCAGTGTGACATGGTCTCATGTTGAAGCCAGGAACAGTCCCAGCCAACAGCTTGCAAGGTGTCTCAGAGGTGTCACTGACTCTTCTGAACATTTAAAGTACACGGGCAGTGCCCCTCAGTGAGCGCTCAGGGAGTGTGGGGCATGCCATGGAACACTCGTTGTGATCTACGACACAGTGTTATTCCATTCTGTAAACATAGTGTTTACAGAAGTGCAAGCCAAAGCTCAGAGCAGTTAAGATCACGGTCTAAGCCCACATGGCTGTGTTGGGGAGTGGGGTTGGCCAGGTCTCCTGGTGCTCTGAGGACCCATGGGGCTCTCAGCAGATCACTGGAGTTGTGTGGGCATTTTCAGGGTCCTGAGCTCTTCTCCCTCTGGACCTGAAATGTAATCCATGTGCCATGCTCAGCCCCCAAACAGAGACAGAGCAAGACCGTGACAGCCTGTTGTTTCTCCACTCTGCAGGTGGCCCACTCTGCTCCTGCTGTGTCCCGGACCCCATGGGACTCTCCTTCCTGCCCACTTACGGCTGCCAGAGCAACCGCACAGCCAGCGTGGCAGCCCTGCGCATGAAGGCCCGCGAGCACTCGGAGGCCGTGCTGCAGTCAGCCAACCTCCTGCCGCCTGCCAGCAGCAGCCCTGGCCCTGGCCCTGCCACCAAGCCCACTGCCCCAGATGGTGGCCAGGACAAGACAACATCTACCAAGGACCAGAGCGAGGGCGAGCCGGGTGTATGAGAGAGCAGGGCCCTGCCGCCTGCACCCTCCCCACCCACCCCCTCTCCCTGCTTTGGCCCTGAGGACCCTCGACAGCAATGACAATCTGCAGCTGGCCTCTGTGGGGGCCCAGGAGGGGAAATCGAGGCCAGCAGCTCTCTGGGTGTGTGGAGAGTCCCTCTGGGGTCCTGCTGGTGGGCTGTATTGTTGTGGCATCTTAAGCAACAGGTCTCCATGGTCCAGAATGGCATGGAGTGGCCTCTGTGGTGAGACCCCTTGGGGGAATCTTAGAGGGAGACAGATCCACTCACGCCATCAGCCCTCCTGTGCCCTTCTCAGGTGGGCAGGCTTGGACCAGTTTGTCAGCCCCAAGATTGGGGTATAGGTCGTCCTTGAGAGATGCCGGGGGCCGTCTCCATGGCATGCAGTGGAACGGTCTCTCACATTGTTTAAGAACCTTGGACCTGGGGGAAAGCAGCCAACTATGCTTCCCCGGGCCAAGGAGAGCAGCAAACCCCTTCCTCCACTGGGGGTATAGACGTAGGGGTGAGTAGGAGGGGGAGGTGTGGGCAGGAAATGGCCCACGGGACTCGGCCTCCCTTGGACGCATGGTTTACAGGTCTCACTGGCACAGCTGTCACAGGGCCGCCACTGGCTCTGGGAACTGCCTAGCTGACTCTGGGGTGCAGAGCAAATTGGACACACATCACTGAAGTACCCTGTGGGCCCTGCCTGTCCCCCGAAGGGACCTGGAGGTGGGCAGGGAATGACCAACTGTAGAGCAGTTTTTGGCCCAGGAAAGGGGGAGACTGGAGCGAGAGGAGCCCAAGACATCTCTGAAAGCCACTTGCATCTCGACTGCCACTTTTCCTGGAACTCCTGGTGCTGCACATGGGAAGCTTGTGGCCAGGAGAGGAAAGAAACACAGTGACAGTCTGATGGGACTGGCGTGTGCAGAGATGGAGCTCAGGCAGGCGGCTTCCCCCTGGGCGCCGTGCATCCCTTCCAAAGGGCTGAATTTCATGGAGAGTTCAGTTGCTGGCTAGCGTGGCTATCTGCTCTCGTGTGGATGGTGACCTCGAAGACATCAAAAGGGAAAAGTGCAATAGCATAAGCCCTGTCCTCGCCTGGTGCCTGGAAGGTCACAGTCTCTGGTGGCTTTTGCCCATGGTGTTCCATTGCAAAGAGTTATTGCTTTTATGATGGTCGTTTTCCTTTCAGTTACTGTAATCAGAAGGTTCTAGTTTCTAATCAGAAGGTCCTGCCCTCTTTTTAGCTTCCCCGGACCACCCCCAAACCTCCTAAGTGTATTGTGCCTCGTTCATGATTCCTGCAAAGCAGTTGATAAAGCAGACCGTCTCCTTTAAAAAAAAAAATCAGATCCTCCCTCCTGCTGTATTTTGCTTGTTGAGTACAAAGATGAAACGATTTGCCAAAAAGCGGCAAAGTGGCTTCCGTTCCCTGTAATTACGAATGTTTGGTTGAGCGATGTAAGCTCCAGCCCTTATGCACACTAACTCTTCAATCTAATTGTTTGATTAAACTCGTATTTCCTCCAGAAAGGTACATAAATAAGTGAACTGTTGGGCAAATTAAGAATACTTAACAGCATTGCATCCGAAAAGTAGTTACGCTGATTAAATTTTGTGTCCTTGAGGACTTTCAGGAAATTACTTTTGATCGTCAATAACACAATTAAGTAAACTACACACACATTAGCATGAATAATTGATAAGAAATTATGTATTACCACGAAGCACTGATTTAATAATTCATGACGCGACACTCTAGTGACTGTGCAAAACTGGATAACATCGGAAAGTCTGCCTGATGTTACGGAAAGAAAGGAAAAAAGCAAGCGCCGAACCTCTACAGAGATATCCAAGTACTTAGTTTTGTTGTACAAAGGCAAAAAGTAACCGATGCATGCTGTAGTTTCTGTTTGTTTAAATACCCAAATAAATTTAGAAGAGTTCAAAGAGAGTCACGCAGCTCAGGTCCCGTCTTTGTTTCTCCTGGCTGGGTGGAGTCTGTATCTCTAATGCTCCACTTTGGCCAGTGTGCAAATGGAAAGCTTTTGAAACTTCCAGGGTGGGGGTAACTTCGAGGCCTTGGCTCAGCAACCTTTTAGCAGATGCTGGTCAAAACGGAGGCCCCTGTGCAAGCCAGCACCCTCCCCCCAAGATGCCCATGCCTGCAGAAGACAGTCCTGTCCCTAGATGGATGGATGGATGAATGGATGGATGGATGAATGGATGGATGGAGGTGGCCTCACCAGACCCCTCGGGGCTGTTCTCAGGCAAGGGCCCTTTGGTAAGCCCTCAGCGGGGCTTCTGTGTGCTGCCTGTCTACAGAAGTTCACGATGTGACTATAAAAAGACAGCAGGGCTTCAGGCTGGGAAAGAGGCTCAGGACCCAGGGATGGATTGATTGATTAATTATTATTATTCATTTATTAGTTAGAGCACTCTGCAGGGCACTCTTAATGCACTCTGGGCTCTCACACAGTGGCCAGCCTTGTTCAGGTTGATGGGTTGGAGGGGGGGCAGCAGTGGAGGCGACAAGGAGTCTGGGTGGGGGTCCTCAGAGCCCTCTGGATGGAGGGACACTGGAGGACTCACTGGCATCCTCCGTACTTTTGCTGGCACTTTATTTAGGGACACCTGCACCTGGGCTCTCAACTGGCTAGGAAGGGTTTCCTTCAACTTTTAGTCGCAAAGTCTGGGAATCAACATACATGACCTTATTTAATCCTATTAGACAACCCACACTGTACATAAATCTTGAGCATCCCAGATCTGAAAATCTGATGTCCAAAATGCTCCAAGATCTAAAACTTTTTGAGTGCTAGATTTCTTCAGGCTGAGTATGTATATGGAGCATACATGAAGTTTGCAGTTAAGTTTGGGTCTTATCCCCATGATATCTCTTTTTATACGTGCAAACATTCCAAAATTTGGAATGTTCTGAAATCTGAAACATTTTTGGTCCCAAGCATTTTGGGTAAGCTTTGAGGTTTGCAACCTCTATTACTATTCTCATTTCACATAGAGGGCAACTGAGGTCAGGAAGGTTGGGCAACGTTTCTAAGGTAATGTGGCTGGTGGCCTCCAGTGTGGGGGAGCTCAACCCCATTGTCAGTCACAGGGCCAGTGCTTCACACATGAACTGTTGAAATTAACCATGTGTCTTTAAGGCCACAGAGGGCAATGGAGACCTATGCAGGCCATGCTGTCCTGTGTGGTTGACAGATGCCAGGGTATACCTGTTTGCCCTATGCCTGGGGCTCTGGGAGGGGAGGATGAGCCACCTAGAATCCTGTCGGACCTGGTCAGCACCTTTCTGCCCTGGGCCAGAGGCCTCACAGGGTGGTCAGCCTGGCCTATTTGGTCTGCTGCTGGATCAGGCCACCTGGCCTTCCAGTGTGTGCCCATCTGTCCCTGAGCAGGCCCAGCAGGGACTGCCAAGGGGCCGGTGCCTGTCCAGCATTCTAGGCCCCTCAGATGGCTTTCGTGGATGGGCCATCAAGAAGGTGCTGGAAATTCAACCAACCCACTTAATAGAGAGACTCTGTCCTGGCTTCATCAGGAAAAGCAAAACTCTGTTGTTTTGTTTTGTGATGCTGGAGATCAAATTCAGAGCCTCATGCATTCTAGGCAAGTCCTCTACTGCTGACTATGTCCCATCCCCAAAATGAAACTGGCAAATTCAGAGTTGAATGGAAATGGGAATTTTCTGCCTGTTTGAAATCCTATTTCTTATGGCTGTGTAATTCCAGAGAAGTCACTTAAACTGTCTGTATCTGGGTTCTCTCTTACATACTAATAGCTGCAGCCTCCTAGGACTCCTTGAAGACTGAATGAGTAGATGGATGCCTGGTGCCTGGCCCAGAGAAAGCTCAGTATAATGGCTGGTTCTTATCCCAACAATCCTCACATACATCAAAGCTTTGAAGACCCCAAATCGCAGGAATGACAAGATGGAGTTACAGGGATGGAGAGGACTGCACAGCTGAACGTCTGGGGCTGAAGGGACCCGCACACACACTGAAGCTGCAGGACTCTCCTCAGCCCACCCCTTCTTCCCCTGATGGATCCTTGCTTCATCTTCCAGGGTAGGCTTCCCAGGCTCCCTGTGGGCGGAGCCGGACACACCCTCTGGGGAAGAAACGTCATTGGTCCAGCTGGCATTGTCCACCCCTCCCATCCAACAGCCCAGCCAGCCTGGGGAGGGACCTGCCGGGAGGGAGGGTAACTGAAGTGGGCCACCTGGGCCCACTGCCACATGAACCACTGTGTGGTCATTGTGTTCGGGGAAGACAGAAACGGGGAGGAACTCGGACTCCTCCCTAAGAAAAGCAGCCACGCAGCTCCACCTCTATCCTGGACCCCACGCAGGGACACAGCTAAGTACTTTGCGTGACAGCGGCTGTGAACTTGTGCACAGACATACAAGGTGGGGTGTGTCCACCGTGCTCCCAGCTCAGACCTGGAGCACATGATCCGTGTTCACATTGCCCTCCTAGGGACAATAAATCTCCCATCTCTGAGTTTGGATCCCAGGACCCCAGCCCCAAAGCCTGAGCTGTTTGAGGGGGCCAATGTGTGGACTTGGGGCAGGCAGTGGGGTCTGTCGCCTGTGCCCAGGAGCAGTGCCCTCCTCCCTCCTGGCAAAGCAGGCTGGTGGGGGTCTGTTCTCTGCCTCCAGCAGGAGGCAGTGTGAGGGTAGGAGCCTGCCCCTCCCCCAGGGAGGGTGTTACAGATCAGCCCTGGGCTCTGCCCAGACAGGGACAAGGAAGCCACGTTTCTGAGCTACCTCAAGACAAAAGCAAGGTGTCTTGGTGTCAAGCAGCATGCATAGCATCCCCAGAAGCCTTCAGGGTCTTCTCTGCACTCTGTCTCCTTACCTGGGACTTCAGCCTGGCCCCTGCTCTGAGGTCTGTGGGTAGGTGAGGCCCCTCTGGGCCAATCAGCCTCTTCTAGAGCCCGGCCACTGCTCTTCAGCGCTCTTCCCTCCATGCT